CCCAGCCGGGGCCTTGCCCTCGTCCTCCCTAGAGTCTAAGGCCTGGCCCTGCCCCCGGCCCAGGTCCTGCCTCTTGCACCTGTCCCAGAACCCAGGCCCTGTCCTCAGCCTCCTGCTGGAGCTCGGGCCCAGTCCCATCCCGGGCGGCAGAGCCCAGGCCCTGCCCCCAGCATTTCTCCTAGAACCAGGCCCCGCCCTCAGCCTGCCTCAGCACTCAGACCCCATCTCCTGTCTCTCTTCCTAGAATTAGGCCCTATCCTTGTTTTCCTTAATTCTCCTTCACTTACCAACAATCCCGGAAGGACAACTCGAATTCATTGCAGGTGAAAACGTGCCACCTGGTAAGGCAAGTGTTCCTCCTGGGCTCTCGCCCCACCTCTCGCGCTGTTTTCTCAGGCTCCAGGCTGGCCTGAAGGAGTGGACAGAGTGCTGTTCTGGGAGCTGGGTCATGTGGGTTTGAATCCTGATTCTGTCCAGGTGGGCTGAGCTGCTGCAGGCTTGCTCCTTCCTCCATCCCGGATTTAGTTTTCTTATCTGCCCAGTGGGGGTGGCTGTCTCAAGAGGCTTCTGTAAACTTGGAGAAGGAAAGAGCTGGGAGACAGGGAACCACAGTTTGAGGCTCTTCCCCCCTCTTTGGGGTACTACAGTCCCAATTAGTCCTTTGGGCAGCCCACCCCGGGATGGTGGGGGAAGGGCTGCCTTGGGTGACTCTGCCCCTCTGCCAGGTACTGGATCTCAGCCTTCCCAGCGGAGTTTGACTTGAACCCGGAGCTGGCTGAGCAGATCAAGGAGCTGAAGGCTCTGCTAGACCAAGAAGGGAACCGTCGGCACAGCAGTCTCATTGACATCGAGAGCGTGTGCGTGGGGGGGCTCAGAGGGCTGGGGGGGCACTCAGCATCCTACGCCATCCGCGCTTAATAAATGTCTGTTAAATTGAATGAGTGAGGTCATGTCACTCTCTCGCTTATACATCTTCCATGGCTCCCTAGTGCCTTCAGAATGCCTTGTCTGGGCATTAAGGCCCTTGGTAGTCTCAGGCCAGCTCGGTGTTCCTGCCTCATTTTGCACAGCCCACCGCCCATTCCGAGCACCTCATACCGCAGCTACATGGGTCCACTCGCATTGTCTGAGCCCCTGCATCCTTTCCCACCGTGGTGCTCCCTCATGTCGTTCCCCTTGCCTCCTTCTCCATGTTACCAAGACTCGGCTCAAATGTGAAGTCTCTGCAGGCTCTGAGGGCTCAGGGCTCTCGGGGTAGATTTTGTTGTTCCCGCCCGTGTTCTCCCATGGCATTTTGTACACACTCCTGTACAAAGACCTCTGTCTAGGTGTCAGCTGTTTTGTGATCGTGCGTTCTGTGTCTGTCTCCCTCAGTAGGCTGTGAGCTCCTCGAGGGCAGGAACTGTATCTTACCATCTCTGTATCTCCAGCACCTAGCACAGTGCCTGGCACAGAGTACGTTGACCATAAACATGTGTTGAGTGTTTGACAAGGGGGAGATGTGGAGGAATTGCTGGGACTGGGGACACTAGTGTTTAGGACAGTGACTTGCATTGTCAAAGTCCTCAGTCAGCTTGAGTGGCGTGTCTGTGTGAGTGTGGGGCCACGAGGCATGGGGCATCTCTAGCAAAGGGCTCACTACCCCTGCCCCCCCAGCCCCACCTACAAGTGGAAGCGGCAGGTGACCCAGCGGAACCCCATGGGACAGAAAAAGCGCAAGATGTCCCTGTTATTCGACCACCTGGAGCCCATGGAGCTGGCCGAACATCTCACGTACTTGGAGTACCGCTCTTTCTGCAAGATCCTGGTGTGGCCCAAGGGCTTGCAGTCAAGGGTCTAGCGTGGGCTGGGCAGGGGGTCCCAGGAGAGGGTGGTTACTGGAGTAGGCTGGGTCACCAAGTGTTTTGGGGGTTTTGGTGTAACCACCAAAGGACAGCTGGAGGGTGAGGAGTGGCCATTGGTGAGGGGAGAGGCTGGCGAGGTGCTGAGGCCGTTCCCGCCCACCCCCAGTTCCAGGACTATCACAGTTTCGTGACTCATGGCTGCACCGTGGACAACCCCGTCCTGGAGCGATTCATTTCCCTCTTCAACAGTGTCTCGCAGTGGGTGCAGCTCATGATTCTCAGCAAGCCCACAGCCCCGCAGCGCGCCCTGGTCATCACACACTTCGTCCATGTGGCAGAGGTGCCTGTCCCTCCCTACACCCCAGCCTCCCCCCTTGCCAGGCAGGCTGAGTCCCTGCTTTTCTTTTCTTTTTTTTTTAAAAGATGACTGGTAAGGGGATCTTATGCCTTGACTTGGTGTTGTCAGCGCCACACTCTCCCAAGGGAACCATGGGCCGGCCCCTTGAGTCCCTGCTTTTCACTAACCCACTGCTCCTCTCCAGAAAGGCTGGGCTAAATCCCGGGTCCCCCCAGTGACTCACTTCCGTGCCCTCCCCATTTGCCTCGCAGAAGCTGCTGCAGCTGCAGAACTTCAATACACTGATGGCGGTGGTCGGAGGCCTGAGTCACAGCTCCATCTCCCGCCTCAAGGAGACCCACAGCCATGTCAGCCCTGAGACCATCAAGGTGCCTGGGACTGGGGGTGGGTGGCAGTGCTTCCCAGGTCTGGCCTCCCTGAGGTCTCCCAGCAGCGCTGAGGGCTGGGCATTACCGTCCTCATTTAACAGATGAGGAAACTGAGGCTCAGAGGGGTTAGCTGCTTTTGTGAGGTGGCACAAAGAAAGTGGCAGACCGGGGTCTGTCTGACCCCTAGGCTTGTGCTTTCTTCTTTTCATTTTTTAAAACATATTTGTTATATACATATAGAAAAGTATATAAAACATATGAACAGTTTAGAGAAAAATTATAAAGAAAACACCTGTATAACCACCACCCAGGTCAAGAAATAGAACATTGCCAGGCCCTGAAGCTCCCAGCACCTTAGAGCATAACTCCCTCCCCACCAGAGGTAACCAGCATCCTGGCTTTTGTGATGCAGACCCTGTTTTGCTTTGTAGCTTTACCATCTATGTATGTGCCCCCCAAAAGTGTGGAGTTTTCTGTTGCCTGTTTTTGAACTTCCTCTGAGTGGAAGCATGTGGTATAGTTATTTTATGTCTTGCTTCTTTCATTCCACATGGTTGTGTGAGGTTTTTCTATTCTGTTACGTGGAGCAATTTTTCATTATTATTGTCATATAATATTTTATTTTAAGTCTACCCAAACTTATGTATCTGTTCTATTGTTGATCATTTGGGGTTTTTCCGGTTTTTGCTGTTACGGACAATGCGGCTCAGAACATTCTTCTAGGTCATTGTCCTGGGCTGTCTTGCCTCCTTGAGCCTCAGTTTCTTCTTCTGGTAAATGTTGATGACAACCTGTGCCCAGGCCTGGTATAGAGGTGTGGCAGGGGTTGTTGCCTTTAACTCATGACCTATGAACTCTGACCCCCAGGGGCTGAAGGCATAGTAAGGAAGGATTTTACCCTTTCTCCTATCCCTGACCCTGACTCCTCTGTTCCCACATCTCCAGGGCCAAGGTGGGGAGGATGGTTGAGTGGGACATGTGTGATCCTCTGCCCTTTGTCACCAGCTCTGGGAAGGTCTGACGGAACTGGTGACGGCCACAGGCAACTACGGCAACTACCGGCGCCGGCTGGCAGCCTGTGTGGGCTTCCGCTTCCCCATCCTGGGTGTGCACCTCAAAGACCTGGTGGCCCTGCAGCTGGCATTGCCTGACTGGCTGGACCCTGCCCGGACCCAGCTCAATGGGGCCAAGATGAAGCAGCTCTTCACCATCCTGGAGGAGCTGGCCATGGTGACCAGCCTGCGGCCACCAGTGCAGGCCAACCCCGACCTGCTGAGCCTGCTCACGGTGAGGGGCTGGGGGCAGGGAGACTGGGCTGGGCACCAGGAGTTGATGGCTATACCTAGTCCTGGCGGTGGGCTTGGCCTTGGGTTCTGGGTTCTGCTCAAGGAACTGTGCTCTAGGGTTTGGAGTGGACACTGAGATGGGTCTGGGCCCTGGCTGGGGCTGTGGCCTGAGGTCTGTCTGATCTCGAGGCTAGCACGTTGGCTGTAAGCTGGGTTTGAGGCTGGGCCTGGGTACTGGGTTGAGTTTCTAGCAGGGGGTTGTGTTTAAGGGTTGCGGCCAAGTGCTGGATTCTGTGGGCAGGGATAGTTTTTAAACACTGTCTTGGGCTCTGAGTATAGTCCTGGGCTTGGCTTTGCCCTCAGGTGTGAAGTCTAGGGTGGGAGTTGGGTTCTGATTTAGATCTACACAAGGTTCTAGACCTTGGGCTGGGGCTTAGGTTTTAGGGTTGGGAGTGAATTCTTAGCTGCTTCCAGTCTCTGGGCTGGGATCAGGGTTGAAATCTGAGCTGGATTCTGGTGAATTTCAGGGCTCAAGGCTGGGTTCTGACCTGGCTTCTTGGCAGAGATTGGCAGTGCGTTGTGTTCACAGTCTGGGGCCAAGCTGTGGTCTAGTCTGTGTGCTAGGCTGGCATGGGGTTTCTGGAGTGTGTTCTAAGCTGGGCCTTGTCCTGAGTCTAGCTTCTGAACTGGGCTCTGGGCTGCGCTGTGGCCTCTAGGTGGACCTAGAGGGCTGTGGGCTGCCGAGAGCAGCAGGGGCCGGGGTGTGAACAGAACCGTGTATCCCAGGTGTCTCTGGATCAATATCAGACGGAGGATGAGCTGTACCAGCTGTCCCTGCAGCGGGAGCCACGCTCCAAGTCTTCGGTGAGAGGGGACTCCCTGTTACCCCACTTTACCCCACCTAAGGCTCCCAGGATGTGAGGACAGGAAGAGTTCTTACATGCTACTTCACCCATCCTGCTTATTAGACAGAGGAGTCCTGGGGATGGGGCAGTGGCCTTGGGCAGGCTTCCTTTCTCCAACGGGGTCCCCTCTCTGTCCCCTGGGCCCCGGGCTCCCTTCCCTCTGGCCCTAGCTCAGGGCTGTCCGTCCCCACAGCCAACCAGCCCCACCAGCTGCACCCCGCCTCCACGGCCACCAGTGCTAGAGGAGTGGACCTCAGCGGCCAAACCCAAGCTGGATCAGGCCCTCGTGGTGGAGCATATCGAGAAGATGGTGGAGGTGAGACTCCTTGGCAGCCTGAGCGGTGCAGGGGCAAGTCTGCTGGTAGAAGTGGTGGTCAGGAAAGGCTGATTTGCCAGAGAACTGCCCTGGCAGCCACCACCAGTGCCATGTTCATGGACCAGCACTCAGTCCCTAGGAGGCACAGGGCATGGCAGGCCAGCTGCAGGGGCCTGAGGGGGTGCCGATGGATGGGGTTGGGATGGGGGTATGCAAAAGGGAGGTGGTGGGGGAGACATCTCTGAGATACCCTTTGTAATGTTCCTTTGTCCTCCTCTCTTCCACCCCCGTGTGCCCCAGTCTGTGTTCCGGAACTTTGACGTCGATGGGGATGGCCACATCTCACAGGAAGAGTTCCAGATCATCCGTGGAAATTTCCCCTACCTCAGCGCCTTTGGGGACCTCGACCAGAACCAGTGAGGAGGGGTGGGGACTGGGGGAGTGGGAAGGCAGCCCGGCTCACTTCCCCCTCGGGCTCCCGTTTCCTCATGTGCAAGACGAGACCACTGAACCAGATGATCTTGGATCTGGGCCAGGGATGCTGCCAATGTGGGGAGGAGCTGCTATGATTATTCTTTTGGTGGGGGAGGCTGCCAGCTGTGGAGGTACAGTATTACCTCACTAATTCAGACAGATGGGGGACTCCGCCTGAATCTTGCAAAGACATTGGCCTGGGGACTATTGCTCCATCAGTACTGTTTTATTTGTGGAGCTCACAGCTGGCAAAAAGTGTGGGCAAGTTGAGCTCCTGGGTAGCCTGTTTTAATGAATAGATAAGAAAGACCTGTAATTAGCAGCACCCACTTATCAACAATTCATGTGCAGACAATTCGGAAAAACAGGTGGTTCTCCGAAGTAGGTTAAACATGCCCCCTGCACTATGTTCATGCCCCGTTTTTGCTGAGCAGACAAAACCCCAATGAAAATTTAGTCCGTCCTGGGTCAATTTATTTTCTAATGTTGCCTGTATTTCAAAAATCTGTTACAAAAATCCATGGTAGTTAAACATGCCCCCTGCACTATGTTCATGCCCCGTTTTTGCTGAGCAGACAAAACCCCAATCAAAATTTAGTCCGTCCTGGGTCAATTTATTTTCTAATGTTGCCTGTATTTCAAAAATCTGTTACAAAAATCCATGGTAAAAAAAAAAGCCGTGTAGTAAAATAAATTTATAGTGACTAAAGTGTTTAAAGTAAGAAGTGAGAGTTCCCTGCCTCCTTTCCCACCGGTGGAGGTTACCACGATTGACACTGTTAACAGTGTTAATGGTCTGGCAGTATGTGTATCCTTCCGGTCATTTTTTCCCATGCATGCAGATTGATAGAGATTTTGTTTGTTTGGTGTCTGTTTCATGGACGAACAGGATTATAGTGTAAATCCAGTTCTGCTTATGGCTTTTGTTGTAGCTGCTTTGTTTTTTTCCCAGAGTTGAGGCAGAGGTAGAGTTCTATGTTATCTCCCTGGTTTAGGAGCTGGATTTTTTTCCAGGCCACCCTTTCTGTGAGGGTGCAGCCCTTTGAGACCTTCCAGGCCCCAGCTTCATGCAGGGGTCTCAGCCTTAACTCTCTACCTCATGCAGGCCCTGGGCCTTGTGCCCGGCCTCTGGTTGGGTATCAATCAAAACCCAGCACTATATATATATATATATGTATATATTTTTTAATTTCATGGCTAGCCCATATGGGGATCTGAACCTCTTACCTTGGTATTATAACACCGTGCTCTAACCAACTGAGCTAACCAGCCAGCCCAATTTTGCATATATTTTAAAGCAGCATCTAGGTATTTGTAGCAGTGGGTTTTCTTTTTCCTTTCTTTCTTTTTTTAAAAAAATCACTGTCTTGACAGAACCGCATACCATGCTTTTTTGTGTGTTCATTTTTGTTTTCCACTTAACCCTTTATTGTGGACATCTTTCCATGTGGATTCACGTAGAACTACCTCATTCTTTTGAACAGCTGCAGAGTGTGGCTGGCCCCTCATTTTCCTAAGCATTCTCCTGCTGATGGACAGGTAGACTGTTCCAGTTTCTTGCTATTATTATATGCCATGCTGCTGTGAACATCCTTGACCGATGCACTCAGGCCAGTATTTCTGTAGGAGAAATTCCTAGAAGTGGGATAATTGGATCAAAAGATATGCATATTCTAAATTAGGAGAGAGACTGCCAAACTGACCTCAGACAGGGTTGTCCCAGTTTACACCCCCATCAGCAGTGTACAAGTGCCTGTTTCCCAACTTCCTTGCCAACAGTGGATGCTATAACAAGCTTTACAGTTTTGCCAATCTCATTGGCAAATGGTATCTTGGTTAAATTTGCATTTCTTTAATACTAATGGAAATAGAATATCTTTTCATATGTTTATTGGCCGCTTATATTTCTTCTGTTAATTGCCTGTTCATATTTTTATCCATTATTCTACTGGGTTTGTTGGTCTTTCTCTCATTGATTTTTAGAATCCCTGTTAATGGATATTAACCCTTTGCTGTTGAACGTGTTTGCAAATATTTTCTTCCTGTCTGTCATTTATGTTGTCTTTTTCCATATAAAATTTAAAAAATTTTGTGTGCTCAATATGTCAGTCTTTTCCTTTATGGCTTCTCGGATTTGTGTTATGTGTAGAAAGGCCCCTAGCCCCTCAAGATTACAAAATTATTCTCATATATTTTCAGACACTTTTATAATTTTATATTTTACATTAGTGTGCTCAGTTCAGCGCTTTCATGCACAGGATGAGGTGGGAATCTAGGTTTTTATTTTTTTCTAAATGGCCAGTTTTCCCAATGCTCCATTGATTTGAGAACCACCTAGATCACATTATAAACTCAAATACAGGGGATGGGAGTCTCAAACGAGGGACATCCCTGATGGAAATAGCTCCTGGGGGCCGAGGAAGTACTCCCTGCATGGACACTGTTGTTGTGAGCACTTCACGTGCATTATCTCATTTAATCCTCACAAATTCCCATGAGGTGTAGGAATTATTATTATGCCCACTTATAGATAAGGAAGCTGAGGCACAGGGACATTAACCTGCTCCAGGGCACATGGCTGGGAAGTAGAGCTGGGATTTGGACTGATGTCTGTATGCAGAGTACGTGTTCACTCTTTCCATAAAATATATTAATATAATAAATAATAATAAAATAATTAATATATTTTGATGAAAAAAGGGGTTCTGTGGGAAGCCCTGGGTTCGGTGGGAAACCCTGAAGTACAGGTGTCTTTCTAGCAGGATTACGCAGTAGTGAGACCGGGTGCACCTGGTCCCAGAACTCATTAAAGAGCTCCTAATTCTCAGGGCTCCTGTTGTGCAGAGCACACTTTGGGCTGATGATTCCATGAGAAAGTGCACAGCCCTTTTTGCACACTAATTGTGAAGTGGGCAGGGCAGGAATATGATCCCCATTGTTCTGAGAAGGAAACGCAGGGAAAGTGACTTGCCCACGACCACACAACTAGTTAGTGGCAGCTACAACATCTGTGTGACTCCTAGTCCGGTGCTCTTTTTCTTCCTTGTACCAGAAGTCCAAAGTCAGGAGTTTGGTGAGGACCTTTTATTTGGTAGGGGGTTTCCCACTGGGATGGGTTAGGCCGGTGGTGGGCGGCCCTGGGGAGGGCCGAGCTGAGGCGCA